ATTTATGACAAAGAACTGCACAGATGCAGATATTATAACAATCTATCGTTAAACACACACCTTGTCCTCTGTTTCTCGCTCTGCGCCGCTGCTGTCTGCTGATTGAAAAAAGAACGCGCAGAAAGACGGGGAGGAGCCGATCGAAGTCTGCCACCGTTTTCATATGAAATTTAAAGGGGACTGAGGCGATCACGAATTCGTGTACAGTTTATGGAGCTAATCGCAAAATTTTAGGGTATAGCCCCCCTAAAAATGGCCTAGCGACGCCCATGCTATTAGGGGTTTATTATAATGAATGACAACCCTGTAGTGTATATTACTAAACTCATGTTAAAAAAGATTGGTTTTCTCTCAGCGTGCAAAGATTAACGATGAATGCATTTAGCGAACAGTCTAGACCACTTCCTTGCCAGTACAATGGAAATGTCCCTTCTTTTTTATTTTGGGGGAGCTCAAGGAAGTGTAGGTTCAATGGGAACTTCAAGGTCCACATTCTTGAAGTTCCTGTAAGGTTTCCAAGAGTTTTGAGATGCGAGGGCAACCACCTACAGATCGCTACCAGCAACTTACAGAACAGGAAGGAAAGGTTACCACAACAGAAATGTTTTTCTGTTTAAGACACACCCCTAATTTCCCAGTTCACAAAGAGTATTTTCATGCTCCTCTATTCAGATTTCAAAACATGTGCACTTTAAAGACAATGCTAAACCGTTTATGATAATCTTCTCTGCTTCCTTTTATTATCGTGTTGTGACAAGAAGAGATATTTACAGCTCTGACCCAACCTGAGTTTTAGAAGAGACATAATTTCTAGAATATCGATCAGACTGGTCATACAAACTGATGGCTTTCATTCAGTGTAGCTACAGTAGATGTAGATAATTAAAACTACATTAATTATCACCTTAATTTAAAGCAGCTATGTCTATTTTCAGTAGATTTACATATAATAAAGATAATCGATTATATATATATATATATATATAGATGCAATCTAAATATAAAGATGATATAAAATACGCCGAAAATGTATTTAAAATGCAAGTTGATTAGTAATGTGTCCACTAGAGGGCATAACAATCAAGGAATAGCAAAAATAGACGCTGAGTTGCAGCATGCACTGGACTCTCATTTCCGCTTGTTTAGATGCAAATGAGGACAGGAACACTGCAGATGTTTTGTAATACTGCAATCAGAGGTGTAGTTTGCGGGGGGATGGGGGGAGGAACCACCCAATAACCAAAATTAGCAAGTACATATATACATATAACAGCCTAACATATAGGACTATTATAATCTTTTTTAAATACTCATGACCACCTTTACTAGAATTTATCACGTTTTATTGTAAGCTTATTTATTGTGGTAAATTTTGTCTAACTTGTTGTAGAATTTATAATAGATAATCTGTTAAGAGACTAGATTTTTTCCTATAGATTTATATTACAACTGCAGCACTATTGTTTCACCTGAAGGACATCACTGGACCCTTGCTGGATCCTCTTCAGTTTGCCTACAGAGCAAACAGGTCTGTGGACGATGCAGTAAACATGGGACTGCATTATGTTCTGCAACATCTAGACAGACCAGGGACTTATGTGAGGATCCTGTTCGTGGACTTCAGCTCGGCCTTTAACACTATAATCCCAAACCTCCTCCTGCCCAAACTACGCTGTTTTTTGTTCTGTCACTGTCATTCTGTTACACTGTGGAAGCTTCTGTCACGAAAACAAATTCCTCGTATGTGTAAACATACCTGGCAATAAAGCTCATTCTGATTCTGATTCTGATTCTAAATGTGCAGGCTGTTTTGTTTTTCATAAGAAATGCTATATAGAATAACAATAATAGTTATTATTGGCCTGGTAATGATTAATAGGCTAGCCATATTATAACAAATGCTACAGTTAAGAGTTATGGTACATTTTCATAAGACCAAGTACAAGTCAGAAACGAGAGCTATGTGTAAATGGGTTCTAATGATGAGTGATGGAAAAACCTGGCCTTCAGACATTCCAAGAGATGGCATAGATTAAATCATTAAGAGCCTGATGAACTATTAAGGAGTAAGAAATAAACAATATCAATATTAGAAAATGTTAAGTTAGATGTTGAATTAGAACATTCTGTCAAATTACAGCCTATAAGTGCCTAAATAATATAAAATGCATTATATATCCTATGTAAACAAGTAATTGTTAACTAGGCTATTACTTTATTGCCGTTATGTTATCAACCAACTGTGCATGTGTGGACGATAGCACAAAAGACCATTTTACAAAAATAAACCTATAAGCAAACAAACAAACAAATAAATAAACCTTATGAGGGAGTATGACCCGGGACTCCACTAAAACAGTTCATACTTCAACCCTCCCCAATGTTCAAACCAAAACTACACCCTTGACTGCAATCAATAACTGTTGAAGCAGAGATAACTGTTGACAATCATGTATGATTTAATTTGTTAAATATATGTATATATGTATGTATGACTATAAAACACTGGTTCTCAACATTTTGACTCTAAGACCAAGATATGTTTATGTACTTCTGATATGTACCTGATTAATCTCTCTCTTTCTCTCTCTCTCTCTCTTTTTACAGTACATTCATTTCCATTTGCATTTACAGGTTCTCCCGCACCATGCATACCAGAAGACTCGTATGTACTATTATAAAGCTATGCATTGCTGAAATTGCTATGAAATAGAAAACTGCGTTTAAAACTTGTGCGCTACATATATTTTGTCACGCCCAAATTAAGGCAATTTTATTTTCTGTAGAACCTATATCCTTTACACTCAACCCATTCTGAACAATTGCATTTGTGCTATAAACATTTATACTGAACATACTAAAGCTAGCTGTTTTATGATGTTTCTCTAGCAGTGCTTTTTGGCTTTAACGTTTTAAAACGAAAGTCAACAGATTCATGCGGAGCTCTAGGACTTTTCAGAAGAGAAGAGAAAACTGGAAGAGAAATGTAGAAGTGTGTACCCTGCACTGGTTAGGAAGGTAAGTCAACAGAGGTTTGAGGAAGTGATACATTCAAGAAAAAAATATGACCACCATCTTACCGCAACCACCCCCAGATATGGTTTCAACACAAATGAGAGAAAAGACATCATATCCGGGTACTTTTTCTGATTTGGTGACCTCATTTTAATAGAAATTGTATGACTATTTCAATTTCAGTAATTACTGGATTTCATCTGCATCACAGAGTGTATAAACGGAATGATTATTTTTTTATTTAAATAATTGTTTATTTTTATAATACTTACAAAACACTCCAACAGCAAAACACGATCAAGCAAGACAGAAAAGTAACACTAACATGTAAATTAAACTGCTATGGTTATTTTTAATAGTAATTAATAATATGCAGACATAAACCTGCTGTCACAGAGTTTTGAAACTAACCTTGGGTATTTTGGTTGGATTGGCTCTCATAAAGCAGAAGTCCATTCTCACATGTCATTCATTCACAGCCAACTAACTGTGGTATACGACAGATGGTTTAGGTTATTAACTTTATCAAAGTAAATACCAAAGTGGATGTATTCACGTGAGGCGTGACCCTGGGAAAACTAACATATGGCTAGATTCTGTATTCTGAACATAACTTGTTACAGTGCAGTTTCAAGCAGGACTTAATAATTCACTTGTATGAACACACTGCATACTGAACACACAATGTAATACTTTAGAATAAAAATGCTAGTATGCATAAATCCCTTGCATGATTACAAGTATAGTTAATTTATGCTAAATGCAAATTGAGGCATCATGAGCATCAGATGTGAGTGTCTCTATCTAGACATAAACTCAGGTGACACTGTGCCTATGGACCTTGATGTTGAGGTCATACCACAGTTCAAGACAGGGCACAAAGGCTCATGGGCTTTGAGGGCATCTGTCAAGCGTTGCTGTTCCTCTATCAAAAGCTGGACTTCCTTCCTCAGCAGGCTGTTCTCCTGTTCCAGACATTCATACACCTGGTTACAGAAAATTTCAGTATGTCAAAAACCACATCAATCAGATGCATCAATGTGCATTTGATGCATTTTCCCATGTCTGCCCACAATTATCAACATATGTCTGCATGGTGAAAATACACATTATATAAGAACAAACGCAAAAATCAGCATCTTTTATATTTTATATAATTTGCAGCTTGCAAACCTCATGCAACTCATCAGCTCTCTGGGTTTGTCTTTTGCGGCTCCTCTGTGCAGCAACTCGGTTCTTTTCTCTTCTTTTCAGCCTTTTCTCATCATCATCAGAGCTCTGAATCACAGTCATATGTTATGGTTGGTATGATGTGTTGTTTCCTGAATATTTTATATTAATGTTTAGTTTTATCTCATTAGAACAGAACAGAACAATTCACAAACAGTAAACCATAAAATCATTTTGGGTGGCACAGATCAGAAAGATGAGAATGTATGTGTTAGGTGGAAATTTATTAGTAATTTATACATTTTTATTTTAGTTTATAAGAATACACTTTATGTCACTTTATAAGAAAACAAGAATAAATAACATACCTCACTCTTTCGAAGCAACCGTAAAGCTGGAGCATCATTTCGAGTAAAGTTACTCGTCGCATTGAAAAGTGACATGACAGGTGCAGAAGAGCACGAGCGCAATAAAGACTTCCGTTCACGAAATTGTATGGAAAATTAAGGCGAACTATTATGTCGTTTTAATTAGCGCATAGTTAGACACGTTTAAACTGTCATTCAACATCCCTCAGTAACATAAGTGATTTCTTGCAAATGCCTTCGGCTGATGTTCTTTGAAGTCACGTGGTGCTCTCGAGAACTCCAATAACTTCTGACGGTGTGAATGTTTTCGTACTTTTAACGCTTTTGGGTCATTCCACGAAATGACTGTCTTTTCCATTTTGAACAGGTGATTTCTAAAAGCTATTTTAAAGTATTTAAACATTCTGTCAGGCAATATGAATGTCTTTAAGAGTAAAATCAAATGCAGGCAAAATAAGTTAAATTAAAAAACGGTAATACTGTCGTAAATGGATATGCATTACAAAAGATAACATGACTGACAGTTTTACAGTTCATTTAGCCATTACTAGCCTTTCGCTCAAAGTTATATATTCCTGCATCTTTATAGAGAAAGACGACATAAAAATAAAATAATAGTCGTTTGTATGTTAAGAAAATTGTCAGCTTTTCATCTTTGTTCACTTAGGATACAAAAAGAGCCCTTCTAGTCAATGTTTATTTGGCTAATTTGTTAAATAAAAAGATGTTCAGTGCCAGTTAATTTGGAAACCAACACTGGTAGACCAATAACACCTTGTGGTATGAACCTGGGCCACATCAGCACAATAGCTCTCTAAAAATGTAATTTATTGTAATGGAAAAAGAAAGTGGTGAGAAACTATATGCACAAAGTATTTCCTGAATATTTATTTACATTATATAGGTAAGAATCAGCATACAAAACACTTATTTAATAACAGGTGTCAATACAACACTCCTTTACTGCCCTTCTCCATAGCCACACAAAATGATACACACACATACAGATACACATTAATTTACATCAGTCTTTTGAATGATTTCTGGAGCAGGTACATAGTCTGCACTGTATTCTGAATCAGACACAGCTCTTTTGATGGTGGAGGGAATCCTGTGGTGAAGATCTGGACAGAATGTCAAGTACTTGACGCAAACCATCAGCTGCCTGTTTCAGACTTTTCAGAGACTGAACAGAATGAAGGAAAATGGAGCATGTTAATATATATATATATATATATATATATATATATATACAGTACTGTGCAAACGTCTTAGGCCATTAGTATTTATCAACAACAAAAAAGTCTTTTGCTGTAGTGTGTCAGTAGGAAATATCAGTTTACATTTCCAAACATTCCTTTTGCCATTAATTGTAACAATCCAGTGAGATTTTTGTATGCACAAGGAGTCTAACAGCAGCCAGTGCTCCACACAGAGATCTGATCTCACCATCATCTGGTCTTGTCTGGGATTACATGAAGAAACAGAAAAAACGGAGACAGAATAAATTCAGAAAAACCACGGTAGCATCTCCAAGACACCTGAAGAATACTACCTGCAAAGCTACAGTACTGTGAAAGGTTTTAGGTGTAAAAATGCTGTAAAGTGAGGATGCTTTCAAAAATAATGTCATAAATAGATTTTATTTATCAATTAACTTCAATTAATACAATCAAACCAATATTTGCTGCAACCACCCTTTTTGTTTTAAAACAGCTTTTGTCCTAGGTGCACTTGCACATAGTTTTTCAGGTAGCTTTGCAGGTAGGTTTCTTCAGGTGTCTTGGAGACGTTGCCACAGTTCTTCTGGATTTATTCTGTCTCAGTTTTTTCTGATTCTTCATGTAATACCAGACAGACTGGATGATGGTGAGATCAGATCTCTGTGTGGAGCACTGGCTGTTGTCAGACTCCTTGTGCATACTGGATTATTACAATTAATGGAAAAAGGAAAAGTTTGGAAATGTAAAATGATATTTCCTCCTGGCACACTACAGTAAAAGATAGAAATAACTGGCTTAAAAACTTTTTTTTTTTTTGATGGCAAAAATACTAATTGCCTAAGACTTTTGCACAGTACTGTGTATGTACACACACACAAGCATGGTAATTATAATACATTTGTACCTTCATAACCGTACTGGCTTGTTTGAACACTGCAGGTGCAGCAGCTGATACATTTCTGATGACAAACTCTGTGAAAACAACGTTTAACAGCTAGTAACGAATACTAGGGGTGCTCCGATCGATTTTTGAGGCCGATCACCGATCACAGAAAGCAGTATCTGCCGATACGATACCGATCTTTTTAAAGCCTTCTTTTTATCATTTATACCTATTTATAGTGACATAAAAAAATGTGTTTTCCTACCTCCAGGAGTGCCATTTTTTGCCTTGTTTATCTAAAAGTGCTCTTTCCCTTTAAACCAAGCCAAAAAACCATATGTGTTGACTGTGAAACACAGTAGACTTTAATAATATGCATTTATGGTGTAATTACTACATTTTCGTGTCAATCCATGTTCATACTTACTGCAAACAATGCGCTGTTACTTTAATTCAGCGCAGCAATAGACTTGGTGCTGAAACGATCTCTGCACTATTGTAGACGCACCGCTCCTGAACGCACTGCAGGACCGCAACCGTGTGCAGTGAACGCTTTAATCAGTTAACATGAGCGCGGAAAAAATACGCACTACGTAAACGGAGTAATGTGAACCTGGCGTTATGTGTGTGCGCTGCGAGTGTGCATGAGCGCACGGTCTCCAGGAGAGCGCGCGAGCGCTGAATGGTTAAACACTGGTAAGAATTGAAAAGTAATGCAATTTATAAACTTTAGTGACGATGTGACACTGCCTCATCTGTGCAAGTGACAATTCCTGTGTCAACTGTGCAGCTCGCTTATAGACAGACATGATGTGTGGTGATTTGATGCCATTTGCATATTTTGAGAGAGAAAGAGAGAGCGCGCGCACGGTGATTCACTCACGTTGTTTGTGAAATTACATTTACATTTAGACATTTAGCAGACGCTTTTATCCAAAGCGACTTACAATTGGGGGATACATAAAGCGATTCTTCTTAAAAGAGGCAAACAGATACAGGAAGTTCTTGTAATACCAAGTTTTTAGACATTGTTCAAATAAGTACACGCTAGAAAGAGAAGGAATAGATAAAGAGAGAGAATTTTTATTTTTTATTTTTTTTATGATGATGAAGTCAAGTAGCTTCGAAAGAGATGAGTTTTCAGCTGTCGCTTGAAAATGGTCAGGGATTCAGCATTCCGGATAGGGGTGGGAAGATCGTTCCACCAGCCAGGAATGGTGAACGAGAATGTTCTGGAAAGTGATTTTGAGCCTCTCTGTGATGGTACCACGAGGCGTCGCTCACTAGCGGATCTCAGACTTCTGGAGGGGATGTAGATTCGTAGTAGGGAGTGGAAGTAGGCGGGTGCTGAGCCTGTGGCTGTTCTATATGCAAGCATCAATGTCTTGAACTTGATTCGAGCCGCAACCGGTAGCCAGTGCAAGGAGATAAAGAGATTAAAAAAAAAATTTTTTTTTTATGATGATGAAGTCAAGTAGCTTCGAAAGAGATGAGTTTTCAGCTGTCGCTTGAAAATGGTCAGGGATTCAGCATTCCGGATAGGGGTGGGAAGATCGTTCCACCAGCCAGGAATGGTGAACTAGAATGTTCTGGAAAGTGATTTTGAGCCTCTCTCAGTGATGGTACCACGAGGCGTCGCTCACTAGCGGATCTCAGACTTCTGGAGGGGATGTAGATTCGTAGTAATGTCTTGAACTTGATTCGAGCCGCAACCGGTAGCCAGTGCAAGGAGATAAAG